GGGGGGGGGGGGATTGATTAGGTTCATGATTTATGTGAAACATTTTATTCAGAAAAAAAGGGGGACTCATTCTTGAATCCCTGTCTCTCAAGGCTTGAGTTTAATGAGTTTAAAGGCGCAATGGGGTCGGTGTGGTTTGCTTTTTGCAGTGAAAAAGAGGAGCTGCCATGAAAAGCAGAGAAAGATGCTGTGGCCTTTCTTGTTTTTGCCTTGTTTGCTCACTTTCCTCCCTTTTTCTTTACTCATTTTTATCATCTTACTGAAGAAATGGTGATGTTTTTGGGCAGGTGTAAGAAGCCCATTCGTCAAAAATGTTGAAAATGGGAGAGAGATTTGTTAAACCCAAGCGGTCAAAGGTCAGGAATTTGACCTTCTTCTCTTATCTCTTCTGTTTGCTTTTCTGGAATTTCTATTGTCTGATAGCATAATCTCAGAGCACGGGTCTGTCTATTAGTGGCTGTGGATCCTCTCCTCTCTCACTTTCTTCCTTTTTGTTTAATTCCACTTGGGATTTTCCTCTGTTTTTCCCCTTTTGTCAACCATCTCATTATATAATTTCCTTTTCATTATCTTAACCCACCTTGCTTTTCTTTATTCTCTCTTTTCTCACTTCAATTATTCCTATTTCTTTAATGTTGGATGAAGAATCCATGCATACTAGATAGATTCGTGTTCGTTTGTAGGTATAGTTTCCACTCTTAGAAGCAAAAAGTAACGTGACTATATCGTAGGAGATACATGAGAATCAGATGTCAAATCTTGAACATGAGGCGTTATATTAAGTCTAGAATTTGAGCCAAATCTTCAATTTGAATTTAGGTGGGTTTGTGTTTTAAGACGATTGTGGAATGAATTTGGATGAGTTCATAGGTTTGAGCAGCACCAGGCCCTCCCTCCCACAGTTTTTCTTATTAAACCTCTCGTGGGTCTGGTAAAAAATGAGTGTTTGACCTAAATTATTACACAAAAACCTAGGAATAGCTTTTGTATTCTCTGTCAAAGGAAGCTTGCAGACAGAGAAGAGGCCGACAGTCCTGCCTGTAATGTCTTCCTGCCTACCCCCTTCAACCTATGAACTCGGCCGCACACCTTCCAGCAATTTTGTTTTGAAGCATTCCTCCCCACAATAGCACAACACAACAGCTATGGTGTAAAGACTTATTTAAGATGAAAACATGTAAAAAGTGTTTGTAACGGGCATATAGCCATGAATAACACGTCCTAAACAAACATGTTCGAAACATCACAACACATGACCATGACTCATGAACTCATTCATCAAGTCATTACTCCGAAGCCCATTATATATTCCAGTAATACACACCAAAAGAAACCCAGAAAACTTAAATTTGGAGCAGAATTCCTCACTCCCATCAACCCATTTTTTCTCGGGAAACTAACACAGAAGATGATGAAGATCAAGAGAGAAGATTTTGAGACGTTTTAACGCACGAGAATCGAGATATATTTGGTAAAATCCAGAGACAAGATTGTGGATTGTTTGTGGGTAAAATTCCGAAACCCTCCTCGCATGCCTTAAAAGCGAAAAGAGGAAGATCTTTCAAGTGAATCCAAGATTTCATGAGCGATGATTATGATGTTCTACATCTCCGGCGGTCTCTTAGCCCTGTTTGTTTGAACAATATATTGTGAAGATCTTGAATTAGATTTTTATGATATCATGAAGAACAGATAATAAAGTTGTGGAGATTAGAATGGATAATGATGCATTGTATGTTCAGAAGAAAGATGATGATAAAGGAAAGAAAGGAACATAAATGGTGCTAATGTGAACTTATTCATGTGGTCATTTTCGGAATACAATTCCATTTTCTCAAAAAAACTATGGCTTTTGTGATTTGGTGGGTCTCAGAGATCCTTTCGATGACCTATGTTTGTGTTGAATAGATGTCTATATGATTCGGTTGATTGTGGGGAAAACTTTAATGGGCTTGACATGTTGCGCATTGTAACAACTTAAGCTCACTGTTAGCATATATTGTCTAATTTAACTCATTACGTATAACCATCAGCCTCACAATTTTAAAACGCATATGTTAGAGAGAGGTTTCTGCATCCTTGTAAGGAATGTTTCGTTCCCCTCTACAACTGATGTCACTCCCTTGGGGTCAGTGTTCTCGCTGGCACAACGTCCAGTGTCTGGCTCTGATACCATTTGCAATAAGCCCAAGCTTACCGCTAGCAAATATTATCCGCTTTGGCCTGTTACGTATCGTCGTCAGCCTCACAGTTTTAAGACGCGTTTTAAAACCGAAAGACTAACAGCGATACGTAACGAGCTAAAACAGACAATATTTCTTAGCGGAGATCTTAGACTATCACAAGTATCCCCTTCATTAGAGGTTCTCATGAATCAAATCTAAATGGAAGAATTAATTTTGATTTTTTCCCATTAGTGATGTAGACTAAGGGGTTCTAGTCGGAGACTTGAAAAGGTAAAGGATGAGAGAATTTTCCGAATTAGCTAAATTAGGCCGGAAATAGATTATATTATTTATTGCAGCCCTATTCAATTGTTATTATTAAATATATATTAAATTTTAATGTGTATAATAAATGTGGAATAGTATGTTATAATATTAAATTTTAAATTTTAATATTGAATTTATTAAGATATTTAAACCGCCAGAAAGAAGAGGCCAAACTGGATAGGCTGTTTGTTGTACCCTCTTGACTAATAAGACTATCCAAAGAGGAAGCGTAACATATTAAAGACACGCGGTCTGGGTTAGGTACCCGCCATAGCCAGCAGGAGGTTTCCATTGCAGGGAACACTTGAACCCATCTCTTCCAATCTTTGCCTTTCAATTTCCGGTGCGTTTTGTTTCTCTTCTCTTCATTTTCTTCCTCAAATCTTATGAAATTGATCACCCTCTCATTAGCTGCCTAATGAAACATGGCTACAAAAGAAAAAAAAAAAAACAATCCCCCGCATGATTGTGTCGATTTTTTGGATGTATTATGATGTAATATATGGATCATCTTTCGTAATTTTGGTTTTATGAAATGAATGCAATAATTCGTGGAGAATGGAATAGAATCTGATAAGAGGGGGACAAACAGTAGTCGACAATGGAAGAGGGAAAGAAAGAATGAATGAAAGAAATTGAAGAGAGGTGGAGGGTTGGTTGTGGCTGAAAGGAAATGAAAGAGATGGGGGATGGCGGAAGCACATGGTGTGCGGGTTTGGTTTGTTGAATTTCAAAGTATGCAGCCCAAGTGTTCGATGAAATGCCTCCTTTTTTTTTTTTTCTTTTTTCTTTGGGTCCTCCATATCTCACTGACACCCCCTTGTCATCACAAAATAGTTTATGTTTTCCATTGTGAGTATCCCATTGAGTTGTCATTTGTCAGGACTCCATTGATGGGGTCGCTCATCTTCTTCTTCTTCTTCATCTATATCTGCAATTATGAATGACCACACCACCACTGCCTTTTCCTTTAATCTATATAGATATAGGCTGGGCCTACCTTGATTGAGTGAGACCCAGAAGCTAGCTCGCTCCATTCACACTAGTTGGAAATAATTGAATTGAATTGAATTGAAATCTGCAACCATAAAACTTAGGCAATGATGAGGTAGAAAGAGAAAATGGATCATGAATAGAAGAGAGAGACCAAAGCATTGGGAAGAGATGGATGGATGGGTTCAAAAAATGCAATAATTTTGTTGGCATTACTACGATTTGTGAGTTAATTATGAAATATTTGAATGTGGGAATACCTCAGTTTTAGGTGACCAGCACCACCATATGGTAGCTGCACCTAATAGATCCCACCACCATCCCTTTCTTCTTCACTGCCCCACTTAGTAACTCAACCTCTCTCTCTCTATGAGTTCTTTACTTCTACAGTTCTTTGTCTCATATCTTTTTCTTTCTTTTGCCACTAATTTCAATAAAATGCCTTCCAGGTCTTCCAGTTGATTTGAATTCAAAGTTCAAACCTCCAATGATTCCAACATAGTTTAAATGAACTGTTCAAAAAGTTCTAAAACGTTTTTTTTTTTTTTAATGTTCCAGGTCGTTTGAAAAAAAGTCAGAGGTGCTTTATTACTTAAAGGTTGGAATTGGGGAAAAAAAGAAAAGAAAAGATTTAGTATTTGTGGGTATAAGGGTGAGAAAATATGCTGAACACGATTATGTGAATGTTGGCCCATTTACGTAATTTTGACCCATGTTTGAGGTCCAGAGGGAAATTCATTCGGGCCATGTTTGAGGCCCGGAGTGAAACTCATTTCGGCCCATGTTTGAGGCCCGTAGTACCCCCCTTTACGTAATTTTGGCCCATGTTGGCCCATGGACTTGGAGCGTGCCACTTACTCTAGTAAGGGAATGGGGCAAATGTCCTCAAGTAAAAAGTTGCCTTCAATGGAGTTAGACGGCCTAGGGTTTACTCTCCTTTCTCTATACAAGAACGGGTCAAGAGTGAATCGAGTTTCCACCGTGAATCACTGGGTCCTAGGTATGCAAGGGCAAGCCCACACAAGCTCCAAGCTGGTCTGAGTTAGGTCGGGTCAACTTGTTTCCGCTTAAATTTAATGGACTTTTTGGCCTCCTATTTAATCACTTAGTCCTAATTTCATTGATCATTTTTCAACTCTAATGGTCTTTTATGATTTTATGTTTGATCCAATTGTCTAAAGGTACCCATTCAATCCTAGGATATTGAATAAAATTAGGTTTCATAATGATGTCCCATGGAGACCAGACTTTCATCTTTCAACCTTCAAGCCTCTGGTTCAGCTACCTTCCCTAATCCCTAGTCGGATTCAATCAACAATTCCCATCCCTCGTGTTAGACAATATCAAACATTTTTATATCCTAAACTACACAAACTTATATCAATAGATCCCTTGGTTGGAAAAGGGAACCAAGTATTTCTTAGAATAGCGTAGAAATTTCTTCATAGTAGACACATTTTAAAATCGTAAACTGATAGCACAAACGGAACTAATTTAGCTATAGAAATGAAACTTTTACGAATATGGGTAGTTTATGGGTAAAAATTATTGGCAGAATGTAAGACAAGAAAGGGAAGGAGAAAGAGAAATACTGATTGTGGTTGCACATTATTAGTTGTCAAGGTCAACCATTTTGTTACACAAAATTAACAACAATTCAAACCCAACAGCCAATGCGACTGAAACACAACACAGCACACATCAAGCTAGATGGGGTTCTACTCAACTTGGGGGAATATCTTCTGCAAACACCCTTTTGAAATCCGTTTCAGAAACCTGAGCATGTTATGGAAGGACGCAGGCGGCAGCAAGGTTGCATTAAGGCAGGTTACCAAAACAGTAAAAAACTTGGAGAATAGAAAGGTCCGGAAGAGGAGCCATAAGTGGAGTGGTCAAAAGGGAAGTGGAAGAGGTTGGCTTTAGCCCAAACAATGCTAAGAGAAGCGGCAGAGTTGGGTTTGCATGGAAATGGGAATGGGGCTGTTCTTGTTGCTTGTTGGCAGAGGCAGAGGCAGGGGCAGTGGCAGTGGCAGTGGCAGTGGCAGCGCAGGGCTAAAGGGTTCGGTTTGGTTTGGTTTGGTTTGGTTTGGAGGGATGAAGAAGGAGTTACAGAAGCGAAGATATGTACACTTGGTTTGTTTGGTTGTGTACTTTTGGGAAAAGGGTCTAATCCTTTTAGATTTTAGGGTTTTACTGTTCTTGTTTTTGTTGTACGTTTGGGATATTATCACACAGACTCTATCACTCCTACTACCAACTCTGTCTTTGAGCTTTCAAAAAGTTGTAATCCTTTTCTATCTTCTCCCCTCCCCATGTTTCCCAATGTCTCTTCTTGTTTACAAGCACAAATATTGAACTATTACACTCATACAAATGTATATTTAATATGCAGGACCTAAAATTAATGAACACTGGAAGCGAGTTTTTATGGAGCTGGACCTCATTTTGAACAGGCGGACAATTGAGGAAGCTAGAAAAGATTTTTTTCGTTAGCTAAATAAGGTACGTACGTTCTCATCCAGCTCATATCACTTTAAATATATATATTTAAATGTCAAACTTAATGTTATAATATTAAAATTTTAAATTTAAAAAATTATATGAAACATTATATTATTTTTTTCTTATAAAAAATTTCATATTGAAATTGGTATTTATACATTAAAATTTTATTTTAAGCGAATAATTTTATAAAATCATATTAAAAATGGGAAAAAAAAACATTCCTCTATCCACACACAAATAAATGAAATATAAAATTTTAAAATATATCTTAAAACTTAAAATTTTGAAATTGATAAATTTATTTAAAATAAATTGAAGAGAAAAAAAAAATATTTAAATATAAAATTGATTTAGATGATTGATGGAAAAAGGTGATGAATTTACAATATAAAAAAAAAAGGGAAAAGGCTTGAAATAGGATCTTTAATTTGGGATACCCATTTGATCTTCGATTTGACCCTCACTTTATCCACTTATAATTCCCATCCTCCCTTTATTTTTTTTTAATTACGACATAATAATAATAAATAAATAAATAAACAAAAGATTTAAAAATAATTATTATACATTAATTATATGAATTATTATTATTATTTTAGAGATGATACTTATTTACTTTAAAAATTAATGAGAGAGGAAAGATAATTTATTCATAATTACATGCATTACTTAATTTTAATTGTTTTCTTTTATTAGTTAATTGTTAGTTATAACATTTTAGCTTAGATATAGCTTAATTAAAAGATAACCCCTTTAATTTTAAGACATGTGATTGAGGTTTGAAATTTTTGTATTTATAAGGTTTTTTTAAAATATAAAAAATTCTTATATCATTAGAATATGACAACCAATAGTATGTTAGTAACACCTTTAAAAAAATACTTTTAAATTTAAAAAGAAAAAACATTAATATTCTTAAAATTAAAAGAAAAAAAAATCAAATATTTGTTTACTATTATTACTCTAACCCTTGAAACTAAGAAAGAAGATCTAAATTGATAATTTTTGTTGGAATATTGACATAAGAACTCGAAAAGAAAACACAAAATCTTTAAAAGAAAAAATTGATAGTGGAAATGGTGCCCCCATTTTGTGTCACAATCTCCAACAACGCCGCCAAACCGCAGGTGGAGCAAAGCTGAGTTTGTCTTTGTCTTCTTCTAAACAAACACTAACATTAAATTCTTTGACAAGACTTCTTAATACTCTTCCCATTTACAATCTTCATCATTGGATCACCACCACCACAAACAACAACAAAAAAAACATTCAAACCCTAATCCATGGCCGATCACCACCACCACCATCACCATATTAACCCTCCTCCCCCATTCTCCCTCATCCCCATTTCATTTCATTACGACCCACTCATGGCCGTAGCCTCAAATCCCTTGAATCCCAACGCCGACCCCTTCCTATTTCAACCTTCCTCCTTCCTCCTGCCTCCGCCTCCGCCTCCTCCGCCGCCGCATGTCGCCGCTTCTCTTCTTTCAGTGTACGACAATCTCTACTTCCCATGTGCGTCCACGCCTTACTATTGGCAATTCTATACTTATCCTGCCATTACCTGCTACAACGCTTTGCCGCCGTGTCAGGCAATGGCAGTGGGCTGCGCCCGTGACGCTATAACGGATTCAAAGCATGTCTTCAAAACAGAGTGTCGTAGGTTCAAAAGGGAATTCGTGGTTTCCTGTGGCCCTCGAAGAGTGACCAAATCTCCGCCGAAATGGGTCGAGAAGAAAATCGGTAGCGCCGTTGGCCACGGCGGCGATGACCCAGTTGAGAAAACTGATCATTGCCCAGTGGGTGGCTCTGGAATCACTACAGTGATGTTAAAAAACATCCCCAACCAGTTCAAGTGGGTACATTTTATATTTATTTTCGCTAATTTTAGAGCTTAACATTGTTTTCAATTCTGAGAATTTTCTTGGAGGATGAGAAAGGTATAAACTGAAGTGGGGTTATGGGTTAATTCCAACTTTTTGTTATTTGTCAGTTAATCATCTGGAATTGTACAAATTGTAATGTGTTTAATTAATTATTTTAGCATATCAATGTCTTTGATTTGCATTTATTGCTATTAACTTTAAGACAATGGCTTCAAAGCAGGCGGCGTGATCTTCTGCAGTTGCTGGACAGATACTGTCAAGTGATGAACCAACCAAGCGATTCTCGACCTGATTTCTCTGCTTCTGAATATGATTTTGTTTATTTGCCAATGGATTTCAGGTGGGTTTTGAATGAAACCCCATGATTTTCATTGTGTGTTCATACTTGGTTGTGAATATTCTTTTGAATTTGTAGGAGATCTTGGTATGAAGGGAAAGTATCGAATTTGGGTTATGCGTTTGTGAACTTCTCGACTTCCATGGCTGCTTCTCAGTTTTGTGCTGTTTATAACAATTACAAATGGGATGTTAATGTCAACAAGAAGATTTGTGAGGTCACTGCCGCTAGAATTCAGGTTTATCTCTCGATTATAGACTATAACATATAATCAATTGGAGTTGATGTTAACTTGTTTGACTTAGGGCAAGGAGGCTTTGAAGAATGCATTCAAGAACAAGATCTTCTGGTGTCTAACCGATCAATATTTGCCTGTGATGTTATCTCCAGCAAGCGACGGTCATCGACGTTACCGAATGGTTAATGTCGGGAGGCGCATTCCCAGGGTACCTCGCAAGCCGCTCAAGAAGTCGAGCAGCAGCTGAGCATCCCCGACCATGCACGGGTTGGTTGATGTGTTTGAATCGAGGTAGAAGGTGTTTGTCTTGTGTTTTGATTGTCTCCCCGACCGCTGCAGTTTCGTTTGGGGAGAATTGAAAACATGAGTGAGTGGCGGTCTATTTGTATGTTTGTATGTTCGGTTTGCCTAGGATGTTGTAGCGCCATGTCTGTCTGAAATGGTCACTTTCTGCAATAATATTCTCTCTTAAACCTGTCAAAGCTTTTAACTTTTTGGCTTGTTGGTTAGTTCGTTATCTTTTCTGGTAATGGGTTTTAAGAATCTGTTCATAAGAAGCTCATTTTCAGTTCTTATGAAAGTTTTTATTTGATTTTAGAGTGATTTTAAGCGACCAATTGAATTAGAGTCGGTCATTGGACGGTGTGAGGCAGTGGTCGGAATAAGGCTAGACGCTCCATAGTAGACATTTTAAAACTGTGAGTCTAACAACGATACGTAGCGAGCCAAAGTAGACAAGACATGCTAGTGTTGGGCTTGTGTTAGTTACAAATAGTATAAGAACTCAAAGCAAACATATGCTAATAGTGGGTTTTGACTGGTATTGAACCCAAGTTTCGAGTGGTATGCTAGCAAGAATGCTGGCACTCAAAATGAGTGAATTGTGACATTAGCAAGAATGCTGACACTCAAAATGAGTGAATTGTGACATTCTACATTGGTTGGAGAGAGAAACGAAATATTCCTGGGAAGGGTGTGGAAACATATCTCTAGCAGACACATTTTAAAACTGTGAGGTTGACAACGATACATAACAGGCCAAAACGGAATAAAGAATTGATTGAGTATATGAACCCTAAAACTTCCCAATCAGAGCTAAATGGGAATACAATTATTATTATGATATTATTTATGAATTTATCTGTGTCTAATCAAAACACCAACAACTAGTTTTTGGTGTCGTAATTCATCTTCTCCAAATTGGGCTGCACGGCCAACTGAACCATCGCCGGCGCCGGAATATGGTCTCTGAGAATACTCTCCGTGACAAGCCCAACGCTGTATTCCCACTCTACTCTCTTCAACCACGTACTGAACTTTCAATCTCTCCTTCTTGACCGTCCACGTGTCCATCTTCTCCCTCAGCAAGACATCCTCCTCCGTCCGATTCGCATTCACCACGAACATCTCCGATTCGGTAATTTTCGAGCATTTTCTTGGCTTTGCCGGAGTGGATGGCGTCGAATACTTCGGTGCAGTCGGTGCCAGCGTGGATGAGGATGCTATCGGCGCCGCCGGGGTGGTGTTTGATGAATTGGGTACAGTCGTAGACATGGCCGTGGACGATTATCCAGGCGGACTGACGGGTGTTGTGTTTTTTGACTTGGGATAAGGAGTAGGTGGTGGAAGCGGTGGAGGCGCTGTTCATGGAGGGAGTGGAGGCGCTGTTCTTCATCCATCCGCCCAACTGGTTGCCGGGGATTGTCGGGTGTTCGAAGATGATTCCGGTCTCTCCCGTGTCGGGTTTGCATATCTTCGTTCTTACTCTAAACCAACAGTTGTTCATCAATCCCTGTTCACGGAAATTTTGACATTTAAGAACACTAAGAGCCGTAATCTGATACCATATTAATAACTAGAAATAAAACATAGAACAATTATGATATATATGTTGAGAATTTATTAGGGAGATTCATGGTTCCTAACAATACATACCATGAGATTCCAGATGAGTTTCTCGGGCTGGGTGTTATTGGTTTCATCCCAAGCCCGGACGGCGATCTCCTTGACATTGAGCAACTTAGAAACCTCCACCTCCAACGACCATAGACACCAGCACCAGTACTTTCCAAACTTGTTCGGCTTCGCCGGATGATCCAACATGCACACGTCCCATTTCTCTCCGCCGTCCATTGTCACCTCCACACGCATAACCTTCTTTCCACCACCTACCCATTTCTCAAACATGTTAAATTTAAAAGGAAGTGAAGACAGATCTCTCTATAACATAATTAGATAAGAGTCAGAGATTCACCAGAATAAGCATAGCCTCTCAAGATGTAGGGCGACCGAGTGCTACAGGGCTTGATGGGCAGAATTTCGTTGTGGCTGGGCGTAGTTATGACCGAGTTAATGTTATACTCGTTGATTACATACTCCGACTTATACCACCACGCTGCATTTTAATTAAACCATGATCATCTCTTTAATTAAGCTAATATGAGACTTTCAAATCAATATACCACATATTCATACAACGTTGTTATTTGTAGATTACCTTCTTTGTCGGCCAGCTCAGCGTCCACGTGGGATGGAAAAACTTTGTTGTCCATTAAATAATAATAACTTTCCGATTCTTTCGTCGTCACAATGATCCGTTTCAGCCACTTCACCATTTTACCTCCGATGAATCCCGGCATTATCATCCTCACCGGAAAACCATGGTCCGCCGCCAGTTCCTCCCCGTTTTGTCTATACGCCAAAATTATATCCCTCGCCGGATCCATAGCGAACTCCACTTTTATACTCGTCCCGTACTTACACCCACCGCCTCCCGGCAAGTCCTCCGCCCCTTCAAAGCATACATTCACCGCCCCATTCTTCCGGCTAAAAATTCCACATCGGTTCAACACGTCACGAAGTGGGACCCCTCCCCAGACCGACGTGGCAACCACCGCCGCTCCCCAATTAAACCCAATTGTCTGTTTCACCGTGTTCTGCTCCTTCCGCCTGTTGCCGGCGCAGACAATCGTCGCCGGAAACTCCCGGAACCCAAACTCGTTAGTCAATTGGTCCATGGTGAACTTAGTGGGCCATTTGACGAGCCCACATACGTCAACGGTCCAGTCGTTCCACGTAGCCCTGGGGACCGCGCCGCGGCTGCGAACAAAGTGGAGTGGGACCGGGGTGATGAAGCCGTATTGCGTTAAACGGTTGAGAGGCGGCTCCGAGTTGAAAGGGTGCTTTCCTGTGTGACGGACCAGGGAAGAATTCCGCTTGATCCAATCATCAGCCGTTCCTTCGTGTCTGGGGTCGAGAATCGACGGCTCTAATTCACGGATTCCTTTCTGGATCAAATCACGAAAGTCGTTGATCTCATCCTCGCCTTCCTCTTCCCGTCGTACCTTGACGGAACTTCTGATGGAACCGTTAGCCGCCATGGGAGATTGGTTTGAGAAAAGAAGGGAGGAGAGGGTGGGGTTTTATGGGGGAGGTGAGTGAGGAGAATTCTATGGGCTGTGCGCGTGGGGCTGTCCTGGGTGTGCCTGACACAGTAGAGAGGGGTCGCCCATGGGCTGATGGGTTCGCGCCGCCCTCACCCACTCGCTCAAATGTCTCTCCACCATTTGTATACAATTTTCTTTTTCTTCCATTTTATTTTTTTTATAGCCATGTGCTTGATCGGTTATCAATGGTATCATAGCTAGGCTTGAACTACGTGTCAGTAAGGACACTAACCACAAGAGAAGTAGATTGTGGGATCCTCTTTCAGTTGAAATTTTTTAGAAACTTCTCCCTAACCAACGACTCATTTTAAAAATTGTGAGGCTGACAGCAATACCATATTAGGTTGAATGGCACTGCGACCGTTCACGATCTCATGTATTTATAGATGTGTATAATGAATATTACGCTGCAACAAACCATAGATTTAAGAGACAAAAACTGGAGGAGCTAACAGTTTGTAATTTATATAAATTAAACCAAAAATATTAAAATTTCAAAATCCTTAGTTCATGATTTTTTTGTTTTTGTTTTTTCAGGACATTATTATTTGTACTTGTTTGCATGTAATTGAAGCCCTTAGCAACAAACAAAAGTTGACCGACCACCCCTTTTTTCAAAACACTCCAAAATAAATAAAACACCCCTACATAAAATTTACACACTTAGATTACCTACTTATTTTGTTACGAATTTAATGTCAAATCAACGTTTTATTTAGGGGTAACACTCAAATTCAGATATTGTTCTCTTTAGACTTTCCTACTTTTAAAATTGAATAAGCTACAGAGAGGTTTCCACACCCTTATAAAATATGTGTGATCTTACCATCTACCCCTTCGGAGCCCAGTGTTCTAACTGCCACTCGTTCCCCTTTTCAATTGACGAAAGATCTCATATATGGGGTACTGTCAAACGAGAGTGAGTGATGAGCCATCTGTAGATAGCTCACTGCTCAGCTATTAAACGTAAGACATAAATTCTCTAGAAAGTAAAGGCGGAAATTATAGGATAAATAAGAGATAATAAGAAGTAAATGGTTAAGAGTTTGTTTTGGGAAGGTAATAAATTTATGAGTGTAAAGTAAACCAAATTAAGCAACCAAAAATCAGAGATTAAAGAGTGAGATAACACGTTTTAATTTTAATAATCCATTACCAGAATCCCATATACTGTTTTCAAAATCAGTGTTCTTTGTAAAGCATGTGTTTCTATTTTATCAAATTGTTCATTTTTTAAAAATAAAAAAAATAAAAATATTCTTATTATTAACAGAACTAATTAATATTTCATTTAAAAAATATTTTTACAATTAAAAAAAAAAACTCGTATCGTTGGTATGGATGGAAACCGTTTATCTATCCCGTCATTTCTCGATTCAATTTGTAGTAACAAAGACTTAGTTGAGTCATTTTGCAGTTCAAATTCGTTTCCCATTATTTATGCACTATTCCTTTATCCGTTCTTTTTTTAATTTCACAATTCCTCATTTTTTTATTCAATTTCGAGGAAAGATTTTAATCTTCGGGAGAGATTTTATATTTTACCTTCGATTTTTTTGGTCTTATTTGATTGATAAGAAAATTCTACATGAATGAAATAAAATGGAAGAAAATGAGAGAATCTATATGGATTCCGAGCCTAAATTTGATATTTATCACAAAATTATATATATATATATATACCTTTTTTCTTTATTTTCTTAAAATTTTTGTGTTAAATAAGTTGAGAAATTCAAAATTTAAAAGTTTTAGTATGGCCACCTTTATAATTCGCTGTGAGCTCTAATTTCTTCATGATTTAATATTTTGTGAAAAAAGTCCAGTCCAGTCGGTAGAACACAAGGTCCAGGCCCAATATTAGGACAAGCCCAATAATTAGGCACAGGCCCAATATTAGGCCCAAACTCAATATTGGGTTGAAGCCCAAGATGAGGCCCAAGCCCAACCCATAGAACATTAAAGCAAACGACCGGCTGTTTTGGGGGGTTATGTTGGTTGTTTTTAAGGCAATTTTCATGCAAATCACAATCAAATCTAAACCTAGCAATTACACAATTACAATTCACTCTCTTTCTGTTTTTTCTTGTTTGTTTGTTTTTTTCTCGCCATTTTGTTCATCTTTTTCTCTGTTTTTTTTGTTTTAGGTTCAATCCAACTTCCCGGAAAGAGACCAAAATCCCTCCGGCAAGAAATGGAAGATCAAACAAACGGCAACGAAATCAAAGCCATACCCCCAAAAGAAAGAGTAATCATTACTGTTTATGTTGAATCTCCCAGAAAACAGAGCAATAAGTCCCATCAAAACCCCATTTCCATTAACAAAAACTCTCATCCAAATGCTCCTCCCAAAGCCACTAAATCCAGAGGCTACGATCGTCGGGCTGAACTTCTTGCGTATTCTCGTGAGCTTAGAAATGTCGATTCTGCTACGACCCACTTGCCCAAAACTAAATCCAAATGGAGGGTGAAATCGGAGACGGCGGCGGTACGGCGAATTCCGTCGAGACGGGGGTTGCGGCAGGGGAGATATGAACGGGTTGGGATGATGAGGGAAGAGAGAACAGAGGTGGTGGAACAGAGATGCTTGCCCAAGTGCTTCAATGGAGATGACAAGAGAAGCAGTGGCCGATTGGGATCTTCCATATTAGTAAATTTTGCATTGCATTGAATCGTGTTTTTATTTATTGTTTGTTTAGTATGTTGATTAATGTGTTTGTGTTTTCAGAGGAAATTGAAGAGTTTGATGGGAGGGTTATCAAAGGGCTGCAAACGCGGTGGTTGGTGATGGTTAAGGACAGCAATGGTGGAATGAGATCCGCCATTTGTGTTGAGTTCGTGGGTATCCATTGGGCTCTGAATTAGCAGCGAAATTAAGTCATTTCTGTCTGTTTCAACTCTCTTTTAGTGCTTATGTTGCCTTTGTTTGTTTTTTGTTTTTCTTTTGTCTCTCTCTGGGGAGTTGTTCATATGCAGATGTCATGGTGTTTGTCCAAGGATTTCGCTGTAATCAAGCATAAGTCGGCAATAATGTGAATTTTAAGATACTCCATTTATGTTTATGTCCTGGATAGATAATATGATATGATGACTCGGAGAGCGATGGAGAGTGACAATAAGGGTCCATTTCAATAGGAGAGGGAACAAAACATTATTTATTATAAAGCGTGGAAATCTCTCCTAGCAGAGACATACACGGTATTTTAAAACAATGATGGAAACCTCTCCTAGCAGACGCACATTCCTTATTATATAGCGTGAAAATCTCTCTTAGCAGATGCATCAGGAGCATTTTAAAACAAGGATGGAAACCTCTTCTAAGGCATGGAAATCTCCCCCACGCATCAGGGTCATTTTAAAACAAGAGTGGAAACCTCTCTGAAGAAGGCGTGGAAATCTCTCCTAACAGCATCAAGGGCATTTTAAAACAAGAGTGAAAATCTCTCATAGCAAATACATTTTTAAATCGTGAGCCTTGACGACAATATGCAAAAAGCTAAAACAAACAATATCTAACAAATGGTATCCAAACATTAAACGGTGTGCGAACAAGGATGTCAGCCCCCAACGGGGTGAATTGTGAGATCCCAAATCGGATACAAAGATGTCAACCCCCAAAGGGATGGATTGTAAGATCCCAAAATCAGTTGGAGAGAACGAAACATCATTTGTAAGAGTGTAGACATCACTGGCAGATACATTTTAAAACCGTAAAACTGATAGAAATCTCTAGCATATGAATTTTAAAACCGTAAGACGGATAGAAATCTCTAGCATATGCATTATAAAACCTAAGACTTACCGCACAAACTAAAGCAAATAATATAATTAGTGGTATCTTTTCAAATTTAAAATCCAAAAAAAATGCATAAATTCTACTTTAGTTACGTATAATGCATTTGTATCCACCTGTCCAACAATCACAGTCCAGATAAAATGGACAAAAACTAAAACTAACTGACACAAATGATACAAGACACCAGAATAATTTAAAAGCAAGCTACAAATGTGGGTTTGATGAAAAGAAAAAAAAGAACCAATAGGATTTTATACTCTAAAATAATCCTTATTCTACTTTATATGAGAAGAAGAAACATTTGCGTGGGCTGCAAGGCAATAGCATGGCTGATGCCCACATGCAATAGAGGGCTAGCCCAAAGTGTGGTGCTAACCATGTAAGCCTGAGACAAAGAAAGAACATCCAAAGAACCATAGAAAGAGTAATAGCTACTAAAAGAACAGAAGAAACAAAACCATTTGTTCCATTGTCGTGTGTTCTGTTTAGTCAGTCAATCAAACGAAAATTGACCACAAATCAAAGGGAGCTCAGGGGGAGCTCCGCTGCTGTACCTCCTTGCCTTCCAAGCTGGCAAGCTAAACACCGACGGATCCTAACAATGCCAACAATGCCTATTCCCCCCTCCAACGCCAGCGGAGAAAAACACCCATGGCTGGCTGTTCAAACAAATTCTTTGACCATTAAAATTTAAATTTTTGTTTAAAAAAAAAAAAGAAAAAAAGAAAAAAAGCTAGAAATGATTTGACTTATGCACCATGAACAGAGTGGGTATGTATGACTTCTAACCGACGAATAATACCGACAGACCTCAATTACAAGAGAAGTTTTAAGGAATATACATGCCCCATCTCAATAAAAGCTTACGCCCCCTAACTCCCACTTGTTCCTCTTCTTTTCTGTATAATCATTATGGAATTCTGTTAAGTCCTCCTCTCTGTCTTGGCCGCCTCGACCTCCCAAATATAATTCTACGGAAACCACGTCCTGGTCCACCAGTAGCAGTAGATCCCAAACCTGCAGCAGCACGGTGCATCCCAAAATCAATCTCGTCTCCCCTACGGTATGAATTACGAGAAAACAGACCACTGTCCCGTCCAAAACCAAATGCATCCATGGAAAAGAAAGAATCATCATCCAAATTCTCATCCATATCAGAATCGTACTCACTGTAAAAACCACTTCGGTTTGGTTCCAACACGTAATCCCCCAGAACAATAGCTCCAGGGATGGACGATATGATCGTGCTAATCACATCACTTCGCTCTCTCTCGTGCTCAAATCTCTTCCACTTCTCTTCACGCACAGGGTCCACTTCTCGTGGTCGAGCTAATGGATGCTTTGCCTTAACGTGCTTCTTCAGCTCCTTGTAACATCCAATAAATGAGCAATTATCCTGCATGCAGCTTCTCTTCTTAGAATTAAGATACTTCCGTGCTGGTTCCACCACTGTCCATCCTTTAACCTGTCCCCTACAAAGGGGACACAACAGCTCTGGCACATTAACCTTTTCACTTGGCTGCCCTGCATCCAAATTCAAGCTTAAACTTTCCACGGGCATATTCGATTGTTCTGAACTTTGAGTTGATGTTACTTTTGTGTAGGCTTTCTTGTATTGATCAAGACAATTGGAATATCGACGACCAGTTGCACACATATAAGGCCGGCAACCCTTATCATATGATGAACAAAGAAGAAGCACGGCATTGTGAGGGTACTCCATACAGACCGAGCAGGTAGCATCCTCCCACTCTTTTTTCTCTGACCCTTTGCAGTTTCTCTTCTTGAGGAAAACATTTTTAGCAACTTTCAGTGGACTAGATGGCAACACATATGAGTTTCCCCTAGAACGCCTAGAATCAGAGTTGCTTTGCATCTTTTTCATAGCCATTCACAAATTGAACCTGAAATCATTTAGGGGGAAGTGGGAGCATCAGATCACTCTTAACAGTGGACCTCTCAAGATTTTCACAAACTCAAGCCTGCACCCGAATTTTATTACAACTAACATCAAGATGGGGAATCCAGACATTAAGAAATAAGTTTCATGCCTAAGTCAGCTGTTGGCCCTAATCACGTAAAAATAAATAATACCATATGGAAGAAAAACAAAATAAAATAGACAATACATAATATAATTCTCTCCATAAATAGACAATAACATTATAGCAGAAACAGGAATAAAAATAAAACAAATAGACAATTACATAATGAAGCAGGTTGATCAAAACCACAAGAAGAGGACATCGTCACACACTACATAACCATACCCTAATAATAGATGTTCAACCCCTTGACAAGTTCAAAAGAAAAATATTCTATAACGGAACTGAACCAACTAAAACATACATCTTCTTTAGTCTCAAGTGCCTCATGGATTACAACCATAAGCTACTAAACTGATAGTTCAATAACAAAATTTAGAATTTTTTTTAAAAACTGTTCAACCACTTGTATGTCATGTAACAACCACTTGTATGTCATGTCATATTATTATTAAGTTCAAAGGCTTATTATTATTATTTTTTTTTAACATACTCGTATCATTGTGTAGTAATCGAGGCCTAAATCTTCAATACACCATAAAAGAAAAAAAAAAAAAACTCCGATACATTTAAGTAAAATAACTCAATACTCCAAGAAGATCCATAGATTTCAGGGTGTGAATCTTCTATAAAGAGAATTGAATGGTATTACAAGAAATGCTTTAAATGATAGCAACTTCCATAGATATTTGAGGAAAGCGGGCAAAAGAAATCTGACATATGACAGAAATATCATATCATATCATCTTTCTAATATTAAAATTCTATCGTACTTGCGATAATGATGGCAAGTTTTACAGTCCAAGTCCTTCAACTTCATTCCAATAAAGGGATAATAGAGTGAAACTTACTCAACTGAGGAAGAACTAATAAAACTGTATGTAAATGGATAAATCAACACAAAAGGCCTAAATACTTGCTGAATAACAAAGGATATTTTATTATCAGCATTATAATTGAAAAACACTAATTATACCCTACATGAAAAAAATAGTCAGGCATGGTATAGTCATCTCGCATATCATATATACATGTACATACTATACAATGTTGTTTTTTAACTTGGAGAAAGCTTCTGACATCTGGGTGGAAACTTTCTTATTGTAGTCTACGTACTTTGGTTGTGAAATGGAGGTGTATTTTATGCATGCTTATCAAGAATACATTTTTCTATCGTTGCCAATGACAAGCCCTACAGGTTAAAATCCATATTTCCACGCGGATAAGGCAAGGTGACTCTCTCTCCATTTTTCTCCTTTATGATACCTTATTGTCTTATTAAACTCTTGCCCAGCGAACCTTCAAAAGAGCTTTGCTGGGGAATTCCAAGTTGAAGACACTAGTGTACATAAAAACTTCCTTAGATAGTCTCTAACCCCTTTGTAAATTTACGAAATTCTGAAACTAAAATGTGTTCGCATAATAAAATCTACATACTTCTGAACAAAAAAAAAAAAAAAAAAATGTTAGACATCACATTTCATTTCTTACATTCATCAATCACTATCATTCTACAGTTTTATAACATATTCAATAATTTCTGAGAGCGTGAAGAAGAAAGAAACAAGATACAACAATCATTAAAGCCTATATTGGTAGCAAATTTAGAACAGCTACTAATGCAAATATAACATTAGATTCTGATGTCGTATAGTCATTCCCATGCCCTGTAGCCTCTAAAAGTTATTTAATACAGTGGGAAAGCTTAAACAGCCGTCCGATCTTCTAATAATTAGATTGAGAACATTGAAATCCACATTGGTGTACGTACTCCACCCACTTGTAAGTGGGCATCCATAAATTTTCATGCCAGAAAATTCAAATACTACGCAGAATAGAAGGAAAAGTCAATCGACAGAAAAATAACTGCAGCGTCCAAGAAATCAAGGTTACACTTGGAATTATTGTTAGTAGGTAAAATGTTTCTAAAATCTATATACGCACAAAGCAATCAGTATGAACAAAATGCCAGACATCAACATTTTGGGAGTAAAAAAGGAAGAAACACACAACTTTGGGAACTACAGAGGGAAACCTCATTTAAAATTGAGGGCAAATACGGGATTATAATTCCCAATTGAACTATTTTGATTGGACATCTTGAGAACTGATGAGTAGCAAACATATACAGAATCGTGGAGGAAATGATAAAGAGGAAACAAACAAACGATTAAAAAAAACCCTAAAACAGAGAGGAAACGTGGAATACCACACAGTGCGATGAATAATGCGAGAAGCCAACACGTAACAGGCATCCGAGGAAATGACAAAAATGATCCAGCCTCCACAAAAAAAAAATGGATTGAAAAGAAAAAGACAGGGAGAAAGAGAGAATTAAGATCGGGAAAAGAAGGGGGACAGGGAATTGGAAGGAAACGTACCTGAATGGGTGAGTGATTCCGGTAATTGAAGGCGTCGCCGACGATGGGAGAGGAGTGAAATTGAAACCCTAATGAAATGTGAATTGTGAAGTGAGAAGAAGAAGAAGAAGGCGGAGAAGGAGAACGGAGAACGGAGGATCGAGGCCAGAGAAGCGCTCTCGATTGTTCGGAGAGGTGTGCTGGGGACTTGCGTGGAGGTTTCCCCTTTTTCTTTTTCCTTTTTAATCTGAAATTCATCGTTTCTTTTTCCTTCACGACACTATGGCGAATCTCTTGTGGGCTTAAGGCCCCAATTATGTGGATTATTTAATGGGCCTCAGGCCCTATTTTTCAACACATATATATTTTTTTAAAATTTTATATAGTTTTTAATATTGTTTTATGGCTAGCTTATCGCACCTCAACTATTACCGTGAGACCATTGCTACCAAAGTAACTCGTAACGCCCTTCACTGCAAGTTATACGTTCTTTTTTCCGCTTCTTTCTAAATCAAATCTGCTTGCTTATAAGAGAAGAGCAAGGTGCGTAGTGTCACAATCGTACTCTTGCAGCAGCGGGACAACGATCATGCAGTACTTGTTATAACCCAACGAACAAGTCAGTCGTGAGAAGTTCAAACGTCGCAAACAATGTCGGCATATGCTCGGGCCTCGAGTCACGTTTTTCCAGAAATATTTTAGTAAACGTGCGCAAGAAAATACATTTGAATACGATTTGAAAAAATTGAAGAAAGATTGAAAACAATATTATATGGCTATGAGCAAAAGGCAACACAACAGCTTAAATATCATATAGGGAGAATTTGACAACTAGTCATGATTTCGTTGAACGGTCGTACAAAATCTAGGTAAGAGTTGACAAAGAGTCGCATCTCCGAATAGTACATTTTGGAGAATTTTAGCTCTAGCAGGTGGACATGATTTTGGTAAATAATTATATACCTCATATTGACACAACGTAAAATAATAAAAACCTATCTAAGATGACAACATGTAAAACGAGTTTGAAAGATGCATGCAACCATCGACAACACGCCTTGGACAAACATAACCGTGACACGTAACTTACTTATCAAAGGACTCCAGTTGTGGAATCTACTTTTGTCGCTAGTAATTAAGCATCTTGTCTTACGCTAAATTTTCTCACCTTGTGGAGAACTTGCTCCTTCATACCAACCCTTCTACCAGTCCCGCATTTAGGTCTTGGTGTTGGTTTGGGAAAGTTTGATCCATGGATAGTATCTGATATAGGCAAGGGTTTTCGAGGCATCCAAAAATAGGTCATTTCGACTAGTAGGCCAACCTAAGGTGGTTTTTACAGACGCTCATTATTGCAAAACTTTTATTTATACAAGTTTTCTAAAAAAAGAAAAAAGAAGAAGAAAATGGAAGAAACGTATTGAGAAAGTTCAACTTTGACCAAAGATCAAGTCAATGATAAGCAGGATGGTCAAACTTGATAGAACAAAGCTAAAAAGTAGACAAAGTTCAAAGTTGAAGAAAGAAAACACCCAAGAGACTGCCTTATCTATATATAATTAATTTTTACAAGCAGCGTGAATGTTCCTTCTTTTGTATAGTTACAAAAACACAGCTAGGCCTGAATCACCCAAGTAGCTAAGCACAATAATAATACCAATCACAACCTGAATCAGCAAATTTCATTCTTCTTGTTCTTGTTCTCTCTTGTTCTCTATTCTTAGCTACCCAACTAACTAAACACACAATAACTAGAAGCACTTCCATTTAACTGTTCTTGTATCAGTGGCACACAAACTAGTTACCCTCTGCTGCGTACATCAATATCTATTCTAGAAATCCAATAATTACAGAAAAATGTGCCGGAGTCGAACTTTTACAGCCGAGATTGTGCGAAGAACCAGAACTTGGTCTTGGTTCTCAGCAAGCCGTTCAACTACAGGATGTAACCAAGTCGGTTGACGTGTATGCCTATTTTCGACTCCAGAATCTGAGAGAATGGAGTGTAGCATATATATTAACCCAGATGAAATGGAGAATAAATATCATAGACTGTTCAGTTTTTGGTAACAAATGAAGAGTAGAAACTCTACCTTACAAATCTCACTTTTCAGGTCAAATTCTTCTGCCTGGCCTGTAGTAAGGAGATGCTGACCCTGATGAACTGGAAGCTGGTCTTTTAACAAACGGGTGATTTAAAAGATCAGCTGCAGTAAGACGATCGTTTGGATTAACTTTAAGGCACTGCAGAATGAAATCCCGCCCATCGTCTGAGAGAGAGTCGGGAATCGCCGGTAGTCTGCCTTTTCCAATCTGATATAGGGCCTGCATATGCTGTGGATTCGAAGGATAGCAGTTTCAGAACCTTACAAATAATGGTTATGTTGTCTCCTATCATAATAAACAAGAATTGATAAATAAGAGAGCTGAGCTGCAAGTTTCGAAACCCCTTCGAACCATTAATCTTGTGTTATCTCAGTTTCAACGCAAGCAGTGAACTTTGAAAATGTAACAGTCCAAGTGTCCACCGTTAGCAGATATTGTCCACTTTGGCCTGTTACGGGTCGCCATCAGCCTCACGGTTTTAAAATGTATCTGCTAGGGAGAGGTTTCCACACCCCTAAAAGAAATGTTTCGTTCACCACTCCAACCGATGTGAGATCTCACTATCTCACAATCCACCCCCATTGGGAGCTCAGTGTTCTCGTTGGCACACCGTCTGGTGTTTAGCTCTGATACCATTTGTAACTGTCCAAGCCCACCATTAGCAGATATTGTCCACTTTGGCCCGTTACGTATTGTCATCAGTCTCACGATTTTAGAACGCATATGTTAGGGAGAGGTTTCCACACCTTTATAAGGAATGTTTAATTCTCCATCCGTTGATGTGAGATCTCACAATCCCACAGAAAACGAACCAACAAACAGCCAAACAAACAAAAAAAAGTTGATGGAGAAGAACAAAGGTGGCACGTACATTTTCGAATTCCGAGTACGGAAGCTTCTGGGTTAACATTTCCAATACTGTGCACCCAAGGCTCCAGATATCAGCTGGAAGACCGTAGCCCTGGCCCTTCCTATTAACCACCTGCATAAATCACGGCACTGATGATGAGAAATTATTTTCAAATAAACTACAAAAGAACAATATACTTGATTCATTTTCAAGGAAGAACGCGAACCTCAGGTGCCATCCAGAACGGAGTTCCCTTACAAGATTTAACGTCGTTCAATTTTGTTGCCTGAAGAGAATGAAGACAATGGTTTTATGGAAATAAATTCACATAAAAACAAGGCCAACAACAGAAATAATCAAATAGATTGAGAAGAAAACCTTCGCCAAACCAAAATCTGCAAGCTTCACAGATCCACTCACATCCACCAATATATTAGCACATTTAATATCCCTTTATGACAAAAATTTCAAAAACATCAAAATAAGAAAATTATTATTCATTAAGAGGGGTTGGGGGGGTAGTGAAGCAAGAGTTAGATCAATAAATATGAAGAAGAAGAACCTATTTAAAATGGTTGTCCAGATATTCTTTTAACAGAAACCATAGAGGAATTCTAGATATAATATCTCCTCAAGGATATGATCAAAGAAGAATTTTACAGACTTTAATGGAGGGACTGATATATTTGTTGGATACAGTTTAAGAATCATAGTAAGTTTAATTTTTATAAGAAACCGAGAATGTAACAGCCAAGCCCATCGCTAGCAGATATTGTCCGCTTTAGCCCGTTTCGTACCGTCGTCAAACTCACGGTTTTAAAACGTGCCTACTAGAGAGAGGTTTCCACACCCTTATAAAAAATGTTTTGTTCCCCTCTCCAAAATGAGATATACCCACCAGCCACAAGATCAAAGGATTACAAAAAAAATAACATGAACTTGACAACTGAGACAAATCTTTCCCCGTTCCCATCCACAGCAATAGTATTAAATATGAACAGAATAAATACAGACAGATCCATAAGAGTCACAGACTCAACAACCGATAAGCGTAACTCATTCTGGACAGACGAAATAAAACTAAAAGAAAACTCACAACTGCATTCACTAGCACAATTCATAATCAATAACATAATAGATTCATTTGTGTACCTGTGAACCACATTTTGCTCATGAAGATACTTTAAACCACACAGAATCTGCCTTGTATAGGCGGAAACAATGGAATCCGTAAGGACAACCCTCTGATATAGGCTCATAAGGGAGCCCTGAGATACAAGCTCAAGGAAGATATAGAGTTTTGACCCATCCGGCTCCTGCAAATAATAATCAAGTAAAGTATTAACTATTGAATATACGAAATTGTAATAGTGACGAGTAGGAAACTAGATGAAATCAATTGCTACATTGGATAAAATTGGATAGCCATGCAAGAATCCATGATATGGCCTGAACTTAAAGCTCAAATCTAAAAGAAAGCAGGAAATAATCAGATAATGTGTGCTCCAAACTCTGCGCATCACTGCACCTACCAACATACTTCCAATAAGATGAAAAATTAAGGCATCTCTGATAATCCCCGAGGTTTTTGGTTTTTAGTTTTTAGAAGTTGTGCTTGATTTCTCATCTTTCTTAACAAAATATTTGAATTCTAAGCTATGATGAAAAGGAAAACAAAGAAAACATAAGCATCACAGTGCAAATAACAATTCAGCCAAAGCTTAGAATTCGTTTGTGATTCAAGGGCAACTAACATTGAATTGAACTCTGCATATCCTTTGCGTATACTCAACTGAAACCGAAAACGTATTAGATTATCAAAGACTAGAACCAAGATACTTTAGTCCCTATAGATGATTAAGCTAATAAACTAAAATAATTAAGCTCGACTTTTTTCGAACCACCCAAAGCCTAATAACTTCAAATTCTTCGGGATGGAGAAGGCCAATACCGTGTCGGTGCCATAGTACTGAACTATGTTCTCGTGCTCGAACTCACTTAGAAGAGCTATCTCCTGGAAGAAAAACAGGTTATGAATAAGAGATTATAAAGTGTACACATTCAGAATTTCAAATCAGAGCAAGGTAACTCACCTGCTGAAGTTGATAGATACTTTGTCTTCCCTGACTATCTTCATCGAGCAGTGATACTTCCTTGACTGCAAAGAAGGCCCCACTCCTGCAGAAGAGAAACAAAATCAGATAGCCAAAATAACACTAAGGCTTTCTGATCAAGATGTTCTTGAAAACCCAGATGAATTATCAGAGTAAACGAAGACTAATGTGAGATTTAAGCTGAGTTCTTCTTCCTATCAACAAAAGGGTATCAGCCACCGGGAAATTCTTCTTCCTACCAAATAAGCTAAGAGAAACATAACGTACTGTGACATTGCTTCATACACAGATCCAAATGAACCGCTCCCTAGACGTTTTCCTTTTACCCAAGTCGTGATGATGGGTTTACATCTCATATTGGGTGAAATATTTGCAGGCTCTGTAGTGCAGCTCGAACAGTCATCATCATTCGAGGTTGTGAAAGAACACCAAGACCGAACGAGCGGTGAATTCTCCACAGGCCCGACAATATTTCCCTCTCCTTCTCCTTCGACAAAAGGTTCGATTCCTTTTTGAACTTCATCGCGATTTACTTCGTCAACTAAAGGAGCAAAGGTTTTCAAAATGTCCCAAGTATTATCGACATCCATAGGCGGCGGCGGCTTGAGTAAGGGAGGCCGAGCACCATTGATTCCACTTCTCGGGCTACATTCAACAGTAGTAGCCATACGGCTTTCATTCCACTCGAGAGATTCGGTCTTAGCCGTCGATTGCTCAACGCTAATTCGAACTGAATCCTTAACCCTAAGGCACAATTCATCTTCGATTTCTTTATCTTCCTTCTCCATACTAACTTCCTCGCTCTTCGGGCTATCCATAGGATGCAATCTCGACTTCGGTAGAAGCTCGGAAGATGAACGAAGCTTTCTAGCCTCCCAAGCCTCCATCGGAATCCCAAAGTCTTCGGGACCGTTTAGCCCTAAAGTCCGACAGATGAAATCAATTTCACCGTCGATCCCTTGAATCCGAAAGCTGGAGGCATCCGGCGTGTCCATGGACCGAGTGTAAAGAGATCCAGAAGAATCTTCGAGCGAAGAAGACGAGGAAGGAGCGTCATAATCGATGTTCTTCGCCGCATTAAGTCGGCCAAGCTTGGGTTTACCTGCGTTTTTTCTCGAATCCATAGCTTTTTTTCGTTTCCCAGGAGAGAGAAACTGAGGCAGACGATGCATCGAGACTCTAGCCCATTAAACTATCCCCTCACCGCCGGCAACAACAAGAAATCAACGATTTCAGGAAGGAAAAACTACAAAAATTGATGGAATTAGGAATTGAAAGATTGAATCAGCCTCCAAGATTGAGGAAACATGGACTGAATTGGACTGGTAAACGCCGGAGAGAGAGAAAAAAAAAAAAAAAAACGCGGGT